GAATTATTTGTGTTACCATATGCTTAGAGTCCGCAACAAGCGTTGAAAAACGACCTCGTGTTATAAATTTAACAGTTTTTAATAGGTCATTAAGACGTCACATACTGTTATAAAAGTGGGAAGAAAAGCAGTGAAACTTAACATTCGATCCAGGTTGTCAAACAGCAGAAACATGATCGCTAAGGTAAGTCATACAGTATTTTTGAATAAGTGCAAGCTGTATTTGAAACCATGTTTTCAGTGTTAATAGAATATATTTAAAAATTTATCACTGACTTTTTAACTTAAAGGGTCTTATATAAGTAGCTTCATTATATGTTTGTTTTAAAAGGTTTAACGCATTTGAAATAATTTGTTCAGATCAATATTAGCTTATAGTAATATCGTACAACATTCCTTCATATAAGGATGTATAAGAGTTTTTAACATACGATAAGAAAGTCTGAAAAACAATCATTGAGATAAGTCTTTATCACGTATTTTCTTTAAGTTACAATATAAGTCCATTTTAGCACGGCACCCATATCAGTCATAGATAGGCTGTAAGTCACACAGAAGTTACGCTCTTTAGGAAAGTTTCAGGAAATTAATCTTGCCTTTTCTCATAGATTTATTTATTTATAATCTTTAATGGTTATCCTTGTAGATTGCCATCCTCTGTGCTTTGGTCGCTGCCGTCCATGGTGGTCTGTACCACGGTTTGGCAGGTGGTTCTAGTGTCAGTTCTCGCCGTCAGGACGTAAGAAATATTTTATTATCTTTATAATATGAACTTTGTATTAGTAAAGATCTTTTTAACTTCTTAATATATGCTAGTGTAAGAAACGTAGCTAAGACTTTGCGGAATAACATAGTATATTTAACTACCAGCGTTTATTGATAGATTTATGGATTAGGTTTATCTTGAACAATTAATTTAATTGGAAAATAATTAAGTAAAACATTTATTGATTCTTTGTAAATTTCTAAACAAAATGCTATTTCGTATCAATTTTTCCAGGACTATGGTAACTACGCCTTCAACTACGACATTGTTGACCCAGTTGGAGCCACCAATGGCCGTTGGGAGGCTGGAGACGGATATGGAAACAAACGTGGAGCCTACAGTCTGACTGACATCGACGGACGTGCCCGCAGAGTTGAGTACGTTGCTGATGGTGCCGGTTTCCGTGCTGTTGTAAAAACCAACGAACCAGGTACCGCCGCTAGTGCTCCTGCAGCAGCCGTTGTGGCCTCCAGTCAACCTGGCGTTGTCGCTCATGGACCTGCTGTAGTGAAGGCTCATGTTGCTGCTGCCCCTGCCTATGCATATGGAGCCCCTGCATACGCTGCTGGAATCTATGGTGCTCCTGCCTACGCTGCTGGAGCTTACAGAGCTCCCGTCTACGCTGCTGGAGCATACAAAGCTGTAATTATTCATACAAATATTTAGTTTATTGCTCCGCTTTCAATGTTGTAGCACTTTTATTCTACAATATGTAGTGTTGAAAGAGAAACGGAAAGTAATCGATGCCAGTTTTCTGAGGACCAAATAAATTTTATTACATAAATACGAACTGTACATGGAGATTTGAACAGAAACAAAAGTTTTAAAGTAAAATATCAGTTTCATGGAGAGCGAAGAGAGGAAAGGTTTTCTCTCAGTTTTGACCTTTTCGGAAAATAGCGGTAAGTTAGGGTTTTGTGTAAGCAAAGGCAAGATACCAGTCGACATCCAGAAATCAGGCTTAAGTTTGTCAAGAACTTGAAGATTATAAAGTTAGCAATGAAAGCAGAAAATTCTTTGAGAGAATTAGTATGTGAAATTAATTAATGGAGAAAGTTATATATATATATTTAATGGTATTTATAAAATCCAGCTCCATAGGCAGGAGCTCCATAGATACCAGCGGCGTAGACGGGGATAATTAATTACACTTTTTATTTACGTGTAAAAATTCTTCACACTTTACCACCGAAATTGTGGGGGCATTATAAAGTGACGGTCAATCCCACTATTCGTTGGTAAAAGAGTAGCCCAAGAGTTGGCGAGGGTGGTGATGACTAGCTGCCTTTCCTCTCGTCTTTAACTGCTAAATTAGGGACGGCTAGCACAGGTAGCCCTTGTGTAGATTTGCGCGAAATTCAAAAGAAACCAAACCCTTTTGTGTCTATTAACACATCAATCACTATAACACATTTGCTATGAGTCTTGTATGAACACAAATATTTTTTATGTTCTCTATTTCGAACTCCACAGTTTACTTGTGTTGATGTTTCGGATGAGATAGTTCAATGGGGTATTACAAAAATATTATATTAGTAACGAGCTGATTCTCATGAATTACGTATGACATAAAAATATCAACAAGAACAAAACTATTGATGAAGAAGGTCCTAAAGCAGCATTATAACTGGATATTATAACTAGGTCTCCTAGATCGAAGGAGCCCTTTGTTTAGGAGACGACTGAATGAATCAAAATAAAATATCGATAATCAAAAGCAAGCTAAGGTTAACAATTAAAGATGAACGATTGATTTCGGATGGACAGTTGGATATTTTACTGCTGACAAAAGTAGAAATTGAATGTAGATAGAGTTATATGTGTATTACTCAAACTGTGGTTAATAACTAGTATTGAACTGTATTGGACTTATTTACGGCCCCTTCAAGTCCTTAATTCGGCTCTGTCTAGAATGTCTTCAAAGGGTATGATAAGGCGATGCAGTATATTTTAAAAGGGAGCGAAAACTCGACGAGAAACTTCCACATAATATTACAAGATCATCAGTTTGGCACTGACCTCAATAGATGTTGAGTAGGGT